GAAAATATTCAGATCTAGAGCTTTTTTATTTTTGTCTTGTGTATATATCAACATACATATATGGTTTTCTTGTATATAAGAATAATTTATATCCTTATACTTTTAATGAGTTGATCTCAGCTTAGTTGGCACGATTCTTTCTTCTCCACACAGGTAATGAGTGTTCAAATCATACCCCAAACAAATAATTATAAATTTTTTTTTAAACGGGCCTGTTTTTCGGGCTGGCTGGCTGGCTTGTCTGAAACTAAAGAGATGGGCTGACAGTATATTAAAACTGAATCGAAAATTAAAGATGAACCCCTAAACTGAATCAATGAAGAGCAGTTTTTTTTTTTTAATGAGAAGCGGTTTTTTTTAATGGAAACTGTTTTTTTTTAATGAAAAGCAGTTTTTTTTAGTGAAAAATTGTTTTCTTTAATGACTTTAATTAATTTTATCATAAAGTAGGGGGTTTTTCAGCCTATAAATAAAACAAAGAGAGGAGAAAAATAGTGAAGTCTTCATCCATGCCTAACAAGTGATTCAGGATTTCTCAAAAGAAAAAAGTCGTCCCCATCCTGCTTAGCAGACAAGCAACAAGATATTCTTTCTCGTTAAGGCGAAAAGTTGCGGCGAATGATTGCAGAGAAGGGTTGTGGAGAAGGGTTGGGGCGAAGAGTTGTGGCGAATGATTGCAGAGAAGGGTTGTGGAGAAAAGTTGGGGCGAAGAGTTACGACGAAGTGTTGCGGCGGAGCGTCACGGCGACGCTACATGTGGCAGCGGGGAGTTGCGACGGGGCGTCGCGGCGACGCGTTGTCGCGGGGCGTCACGACGACATGACCTCTTGTGGCAGTGCGTCGCACATTCCGAGGAGATTCTCGTGCCGCTCTTACACGTTCTGAAGGTGATGAAGAAATGATGTAGTTTTCTCGCCTCGCCATGAGGGGGGATTTTCATGCTTATGTGGTGGCAATATCTGGAGACCCCTTGATAATCATAAGAAGTACTGGAATTTTGGAAAGGCGATGACGACTCTAATTGAAGATGAACTGATTTGTTGTAGCCCTTGTACATGTATATGTTGTTATTTGTAGCCTTTTTAATCATCTGACGTGATAATTGTAAATGATAATTTGTTGGTTTCACGGTTGTTGTGGCTTCTTAACTGTGCAAAATTCTTTTGATGCTCGTAGCCTTTGGAGGAATTTTATGCACTTGTGTATTCTAAGACTAGTGGCCTTCAGAGGTCTTTGGTGTACCAGTATCTTCTGATGTTTGTAGCCTTTTGAGGTCCTTGAGTGTACTCTTGCCTTCTGAGGCTTGTAGCATTCTCAGGTTTTTGATGTACCTGTGACTTCAGAGGCTTATAGCCTTTTGAGGTTTTTGAGGGTATCTGTGCCTTCTGAGGTCTTTGAGTGGAGACCCTGTCAACCACTTGCCCTCCATGGAGTCTTTCTAGTGAGAACTCTGTCCATTACTAGCTTCCCATCGAGACTTGCCTCTTTGACTCGTCTTTCAAGGGCATAGTAGCTTCTCATTGAGTTTTGCCTCTTGGGCTTGACTTTTAGGTGTACCGTATCTTTCCGTCGAGTCTTACCTCTTGGGCTTGACTTTTAGGGGCACAGTAACTTCTCATCCTCAATTGGGGCTTTCTACACAAAAATCTTTCGTGAGAAAATAAAAAAAATTTAATGAAGTGACATTTTGAAATGACATTTTAAAGCAACATGAAATTTTGCTAAAATAAAATTAAGAGTTTATAAGTCAGTCTTTTACTCAGATAAGATGAGTTGGAGTTATACTTCTCATTCAATAACTCCAACGATTCTCTTCTGGTTCCTCTCACATTGTTCTTGTAAGTAGCGACCAGGTGACATTGACGTATTAGACATTTAATTTCTTCATTTAATTGAAAACATCTTTTTGTTGAATGCCTTTTTGCTTGGTGGAAATGACAATAATGAGACTGGTCTCTACCATCCGAATTTCTTAACGGCTTTGGCCACTTGACAGTCTCTTCATCCTTGATTGTCATTAAGATGTTAACACGTGACGTGTTGAGTGGTGTACATTCTTTTTATGATCGTTGCTCACGATTCCCCTGTGGTTTAAACTTTTTTGCTGTGAGATTTGATATCCCTAGCGTTTTGTTGTGCTTGCCCCCCAATAGCTCAAATTGTTCATTGTGAGCAATGATGACCTCATCTGCAGAGATTTGTGCCTCAACACGGTGAATAAGATCAACATAAGAACAAACTGTCTCCCACTTCAATGATGAGTAGAAGGGTCCTAGGCGGAGCCCCCCAAAGAAGACTCCTCTTAGTAACTTTGGATCTACTCTCGGAATATGTCGGGCTTCAGTAGAAAACCTGCAGAAGCAGTCCTTTAATGACTCTTCTTTGCTTTGACGAATTCCCGAGAGATGGGATGAATATGCGGTTTGCTATAAATTGTTCCACAAACAGTCTGACAATGTCATTAAAGGTGTTTACAGTGCTCCCTGGCAGAAAGTAGAACCAGGTTCTAGTTTGTCCTTTAATAGTAGAGAACACTTGACACAAAAGCGCATCAGAGGCACGTTGATTGTGCATGATGATTCGATAATGATCAATATGCTCGTAGTGTTCGATCATCCCTTCATATGTATCGATGTTCTGAAACTTGAAGCTTGTTGGGATGGGGTGTTGGAGGGCTGCATCCACTAAGGGAGAGGATTCAATGATGTTACTGTGAGTGTAGAAGCAATCCTTTTTCTCTAGAGGGAACTCTTCCTAGACGAGGCGTCGTAGTTCGTTACGAATGACATCATATGGAATGACAGGAAGATGTGGCGATGTCAGGTGAGCTGCATGAGATGGATGAGTGGAAGTTATGGTATCTCAGAGTTCAACATCACGACCTGACAGAGAAAGTGTTCCTTCTCGAGGAGGCAGGCCTGTACGAGTTCCTTCGAGTGGTATGTTTCTCGTAGTTCATGAAGTTAATGGTAAACAAATTTCATCAAATGGTGTAGGCAGTGGCTGTTGAGCCCCGCGTAGGAGCTGTAGGATCTCTAGTTTAGACTACTCCATTCTGCGCATTCGATCTTCTATAGAAGGACCCGAAACACCTTTGTTGGCAGGATAGCGTCTTCTAGTGCGAGAAGATGAAGAAGCATGTCGCCCTTGGCTTCGGGACTGCTCCCTGGAACGATGGGTGTTGGAGCAGGATGCTTCGTTGTCACGAATACTGTGTTTGGTGGCCATGTAGTAAACCACGTGTTGTGGGATTGAAACTTTCCTACAGACGGCGCCAAACTGATGTATGCTAGAAAATTTGCAGCGCTAGAGTAATGAATTATCATCTTAGCTTTACACAAGGATTCAACACGCACTCAGATGAAAAGGAAACAACCCTATGATGACAACAAAAGTTTTTCCGTGGAAAACTCTTAAAGGGAAAAAACCACGGGGCCTGACTTAGTTATAAAAATCAACTATAAGTTGATGATTAGAGAGGACCCTTGTCCCACAGACGGGAAATAGTTATTAGATTTTCCAAGTTACAACGTCGACTGACGACATCTGATTAGCGATGGTCGGTGGTGGTCTACGGAGGTCGACGTTAGTCGATGACGATCAGTGGTGGTCGACGACGATCGACGGTGACAGGAATGATGTTAGACTTGAGCTCCTTCTCCTCAAGTTCTCTCTCCCAAGTCTCATTCCTCATGTGAGGGGTGTGACTCTATTTATAATGTTCTAGGTGTAATTAATGCAGGAATATGAATCATTTTGATCAGACGGTCCGGAGAGCTTCCCTCGATCAGATGGCGTTTGATGGACATTTGAGTGCCTTAACGATGTCGAAATTGAGCAATCTTGGGCTCGTTGGATTTTTCTTGTCGAGACGCTCTATTTGACTATAAACTCGCTAGATTCGACATTTGTTTGACTTTCCAAATGTCTCTGAAAATTCTCTAAAAGTGGTTTAATGATTTGATCCGGGCTTGATCTAACTCGGATTAGACTAACTTTGATATCATTAGGTCTGTCTCACCAAGTCAGTCAGTTTGATTATAAGTTTGCTGATATTAGAGCTCTTGATGACTTTTTTTTTATCAAAATTTAATATTTTTTTTCAAAATATTGCCTCAACATTCGTGCCGGACGATGAATATCTGTTGGTGGAATATCAAATACAATTTAGATATGATAAATGTTTACAGATAAGAATTGGGTGGTATGTATGTAAATATCCAGTATCTCCGTTAAACAATGATAAAGAACTCCTCGAGCTTCTCTTTAAAATGGCACTTACTGAAACCCCTAGCGACCAGCTAATGGAGTCGAAGCGGGTGTGCGTCGTGGGTGCGGGAATAAGCGGTTTAGTCACCTGCAAGTACCTGCTCGAGAAAGGTTTCCGGCCGGTGGTCTTCGAGTCCAGCCGATCCATCGGCGGCGTATGGGCTAGCCCGCTCGGTTCGACCCGGCTACAGACCCCGACCGATTATTACCGGTTCACCGACTTCCCGTGGCCGGAATCGGTCACCGGAGTGCCGAACCACAGGCAGGTGATGGAGTATTTGGAAGCTTATGCTCGCCGGTTTGATCTTATAAAGCATGTCCGCTTTGGGGAGAAGGTGGTGGGTTTGGACTATGTCGGTTCGGACCTGGAGGAGATGGCGGTCTGGGATCTGTGGGGAAGATCCGGCGATGCGTTCGCCGGAGATGGACGAGGAGTTTGGAACATCACCGTTGAGAAGGACGATGGGGCTACTGCGGTAATTTTAACTCGAAAACTGGATTTTTCTTTAAATAAAAGACGACAAAATAAATAAATAATAATTTATTCTTATTACCTACTGCATTTTAAATATTGAAATTAATTTAATAATTTCAAATATAATATTAAACAATCAATTTAAAATATTTTATTTAAAATTTTAAGAACAATTAAAAAAACAAGTATTTTACTAAAAAAAATTAAATATTTAACAATGGATTTAAGATTAGTTTAATATTTCAATAATTAAAAATTATTAATTAGTTTTTTATTTAAATTTATTTATTTGATATAATAAAATTGAAATTTTACCCCCCGACACACACAAACAATCATATTGTGTTAGATATTTAGTTTTAAAGATAAATTTGAATTATTTATTTATATATATGACTTTTTTAAAATATTCGGATATCTCTATATATTTAAAAAAAAAATAATATGAATTAGCTTATTAAAAAAAAAACATAACTATTTTTAAATTCTGCCTAAATAATTTAGGGGCTCTAAAAGACATACACCCATGCCATGCATCAACATATCTAGCACCCAAACATTACTTTTTTACATTTCTATAACCCAAATCATACATAATATGATATAAGTATAAAAAATTAAAAATTGTGAGATGTATGAATACATAGGTTGGGTGATATGAACGTAAGTCTTTCTATACTTTATTGCTTTAATTTAAATTTTTTAGCTCAAAATTAGAATGTATATGCCATTACTTGTTTTTTTTGTTTTAATATTCCAAGAATGTTCTTGTTGAATTGTGATTTGTCCTTCGAAATACGCCTCGGGGGATAGAGCATATGGAATGGGGAAGAAGAGAGAAACACAGAGAGTGTGGAGTACTGGTTGAACAATCTTGAGAAAAAAAAGCCCTCTCATTTATTCATAAAATGATCTCTATTTATAATCATAAATGATGATAAAATTACATGTTTACTCACATTTCAATGGGAGTGTTATAGGTCATTATTCTTATTAATTTGCCCCTCCATTATTAAGGGTGTTATAGATCAGTATTTCCTCGTTTGGCAATTTTTTTAATCATAATTAATATTGGTGTCTTTCGTATCTGTAACAGATATTAGCTTCCTTTCAGAGTCACGACTGGCATTAACACATTTTCGTATCTTTAACTGATATTGACACCTTTCCGTACGTCTATATCTCCTGATTGACAGTTCTTTGCATCAGTCGGCTTACCTGCCCCTAATCTACTATTTAGTATGGTTGTTGATCAGCCTTAGCTACGGGAAAACGAGTAGTTTTGAGAGTGACAGTTGGTTGGCCTCTAGACAATTGGTACAAGTATCCGTTGTCTTAGGCGTTCCTTCGTTAGTAGGGTACGCTTTTAGCAGATCATACATTCTTCGGTCGGCCGACTATATTCAATCAATCGGCTCAATGATTTCTTCTATTTTTTTTCATCAGATTAATCTTCGTCTTTTTCCTTGTAATCTAGTCCATTTGATTTTCTCAGTTTCATGCTAGAGAATTTCATATAAACATATTAGTTTCGTGATTATCTTGCTCCTTAGAAGTTATACTGCGATAGGGACAAGAGAATCTTTATGACAGTAAAATTCATTTATAAATTATAATCTCAACGATTTACCCTTAAGATTGGACTTAAGAGCTTAATAGTCAATTAGGCCTGATTTAAATTTGTTTAATGAGGTTTAGAAAAGAGAAACTTAATTTATAAATTTCATTTATAAAGTATAATCTAAACGATTTATTAATAGGAATTAGACTTTCTGGATTTTTGTGCTTGTGTCCCTTATAAATAGGGTAAAAAAGGGTTCCTCTTTTCCATTTCTCTTTCTGCACACTTCAAGCAACATGTCTGGCGTGAAGGCTTAGGGTCACTTCGATAAGGATGTGCTTTGTATGATTCTTGATAAGATAAGTGCTTTGCCTCGTCTTATGAAAGTTGGTCGGGATTCTCTGCTTCCTCGAAAGATGGTCAGGATTACACATTCAATATTTATAGCATTTGCTCGAACAGGTTCATTTGAAGATTGCTTTGCTGGAGCTTTTCCCTGTCATCAAGTGTCTACTATGACAGCGAGTAACTGATTGAGTTTTCCTGCCCCGGTTTGGTACTCAACCAGGCTTCAGGAGCGAACAATCCTTTGTGTCATGGTCATGGTCCAGGTGTTAATCACAGTACTTGGCGGGGCCTTCTTAAAATAATTTTTATTCTAGATGGTTTCTACGAGCTTGATCATTGAGACCCTCAGGGGAGTCTTCCGTGCTACATAGTGTCACCACGCATTATAATGAGATGGTTGTTGATCTGAGTATCAAGTTTGACTCTGGTTATTCTTTTTTTTTATTGCAGTCTCGAGCATGTCAAGCGTTCTCATAGCGGGAGCGATCGGAAGGATGTTGCCCATCCGTTGACTTTCATCTATCATCTTGTGTGACACTCTTCTTTGAGCAACGACCAAAAGACTCTAATTGGGGATGGGCGGAATTGACAACTCTTTCC